TTTTCCAAAATATTCCGTCCTAATTTGGAGTTGAAAAGATTATTTGTTTGATTTTAAAGAGTCAAAGATGGAATATATATATTTTAAATGGACAGACCGATTGTTGATTTCAATAGCTACAAATGGACTATTACTACAACAACAAAGAAAAAGTCTTGGACAGCTGAGAATTCTTATTTTAATATTCAATCACGTTCTTCTTCCTCAATACTTTCTTGTTTCTTAATTATAATAAATAATAATATTATTTCCAAATTTCATCATGACGCTAAACATGAAGAAGAATTGTCCATAATTTGAAGCCAAAATCAACCATGATTTTGGAACATAAGTTATTTTGAGATAAGTAAGTTGCAAAAAATCTTCCTGTCACTGCTTATAGATCCTAAATTCCTAATTCTGGTTTTTTGTATTTTTAAATTCAGGTTTAAGTATTAGCTAGCTCTCAAAAAGCACGAAACAAGCAACATGGACTCATATGTGGTAAGCAGGCTGACTCCCATATAATCATATTATTAAATAATCTTTAATTTATTGATTGTTTAGTTTTATGTATGTGTGATACTTATAATCTTATATATCATGTTGTATATTTTTGTGTTTCCAGGGTAAGTCGCATAAAGGTTATAGGAGGACTGAATCAAGAAATAAACATTCCTGGTGGTGGGATAGCCACATCAGCCCCAAAAACTCCAAATGGCTTGCTGAAAATGTTGAGGGTAAGCAATTTAAATTCCAATTCTTTATACCATTTTTCACTTTTCCCAACATTTTTAACCAACAAATTAAAATATTTGCATAAACTACCCCGTTGTGTATTGAAATATGATATCAATCGTATAAAGCTCCTTGAAAGTATCCCATGTTCATTCATAATACCCTCAAACAGGAAAAAGCTTTTTGCCTTTTTTTTATTCTCTTTCTTAGGAAAAAAGTTGGATTTGAACCACGAAAATGTAGGTATCAACACGTAATAGTCAAATGCCACTAAAACTAAATACTTTTTTCTACATTAAAGGCAACTCCTTCTCATGGAAGTTGATGTCATGTCCCCACTTTTGGTTCCTTAGTGGCTGTCATAGTTGTTCCTGTAAATCTCCACACTTTCTAGTGATCTAATCTATCTGGGCCCCTCAAATAAACCATCTTTAATTTAAACAACCTATCACATTCCCAAACGCCCAAAATCTTAAATCATACTCTCACAAAAACAATTGTTGATTTCAGAAATGGACCAAAGCGTAAAACGCATGTTAAAGCTAATTGAAGAAGAAGGAGACTCGTTCGCCAAAAAAGCCGAAATGTATTACCAAAAAAGACCCCAACTTGTATCTCACGTCGAAGAATTTTACCGCATGTATCGATCGTTAGCAGAACGATACGATAATGTCACCGGTGAGTTACGTAAAAACATCCCTTCAGATCTCCAGTCCCAAGGATCCGGAGTCTCAGACGTGAGCTCCGAACCACCTCTGGGTTCGAATTCGAATTCGAACCCCCAGCGCGGGTCCCGGTCTGGTACCAGGACCCGAGCTGCAGGGTTTGATGTGTTTCTCAAAAGCGGTGGGAGTAGTTCCGATTTGGGAACCAAAGAAGGCGACGAGACGTCGACTTTGGATTCAGAATCAGAATCCGACGACTCGTCGGTTAACAACTACCCGATTCCGTTGGAATCCGAGGTCAGGAATAAGAACGATCACGTCGAAGAGGAACTCCGAGTTGCAAACGAGAAGATTCGTGAGTTGACAACCGAGCTTCAAAAATACGAATCGTTGCCGCCACCACCACCACCACCACCACCACCTCAGCATTCCGATTCCGTAGGTGGAATTGTGAATGCCGGTTTGGAAGAGCAAGAACGCAAGATCAAATCACTCGAGATTGATTTGAAAGTAACAAAACAAAAGGTTTTGGAATCAGAGGAGGAAGTGAAAAGATTGAGACACGAGCTCCAGAACAATGCGGCTCAGAAGGAGATTTCGAGTTGGAAATTGAAATTCGAGAAAGAGAAACGGGAAGTGGCGAAGATGAACGGTCGGGTAACGCGGTACAAAGAGAATTTGTCGGAACGGGATCGGGAAATCCGGGCAATGAGGGAAACGTTATCGAATGCAAATAAAACATTGTCAGAAGAGAATTTTCAACTTGAAGAACAAGTGACCAAGTTGTTGAAAGAACGTGCGCTTTTGGAAGATGTCATCAAAGAATGGGATTTACGGTGTCAGTGTTCCGAAGAGGAGCTTCGAAGACTTAAGATTGTGAACACCGGAATGGAATCCGAGATTGAGGAGTTGAAGTCTAAAGTGTCGGAACTCGATGAATTAGTGGTTTCTAAAGATGCGGAAATAGAGGGTTTGTGTGGGCATTTGAGGGAGTTGCATTTGGAGCATGTGGAGTTGGTTGATGGAATTGAGAAGTCAAAGAAGTCAATAGAGGAGTTGAGGTGTAGAGGAATGGAATTGGAGAGAGAAATTGAGAGGCAAAGGGAATTGATTGAGGAAGGAGGTGAGGAGAAACGGGAGGTGATACGACAGCTGTGTTTTTCACTTGAGCATTATAGAGATGGATATCAGATGTTGAGACAAGCGTTTACGAGTCAAAATAAGCGACACCTGGTGATGACATAGTAAGTAAGTAAGTAAGTAAGTAATTATTAATTATATGATGCTGTAATTAATTTACAGTTGGGGTTGATTTTGCAAATTTTGAGTTTATATGGGACTAGTGTGTAACTAAGTAAAGGCTTGAAACCTCGTATTATGGACTATTTCTGTCATGTATCATCTTTAATATATATATATATCTTCCATTTCAAAAAAGATATATATTTGATTGTGAAAATATAGCTTGTATCTTATGCTCAAATGTGCAGCTTAATAAAACTTAACAAAAAAAAAAAAAAAGATAAAATAAGAATCGAGTTCAAAGCTTCCCAAAATGTATTTTATTCATACGACTCTTAAATAGTTCTACATTCTAGAATTGGATTATAAATGTGGGAAGAGGTCGATATGAGAACGACAAAAAAGTTAAAAGAACCATAAAGAGCTAAATTTAATTATTTTTGATTTCTAATTCAAAAGCCATGGCCCATGATCAAAAGAAGTTGTTGGCGGATTTTGTTGAACATGAGGCATTAAAGGGTAAATTGGTATTTAAGCATTCGAATCCAATAACTACATTCATTAAATTTTCTTTAATATACCCTTAAAACACCTACTTCTTTTTTTCCTTTTAATTTTATCGTCTAAAAAACCAAATATATCAAAATGCATAATTATTCATTTTTTAGGACGAAATATTAATATCAATATATTTTTACATTGCAGGAGAATGATTAACATATCATTTATATTAACCATTCACATGAGAATAAATATGGTGTACAATGAAAAATAATTAGATATTATAGGTTCACTAGTATACGCCATCATCATTTTCATGTAAATACTAAATATCCAGGATTGTCATGTGTATGTTCTCATGTTAATTAATGATTACAGTGTGCAATGAAATTATGATATCTAATGGTTTCTCGTTGTACATTATTGTTTTTTAAATGAACTTATAATGTCTAATGGTTTCTCGTTGTACATTGTTGTCTTTCTAAGTGAAGGGTGATGATGGACGATTGTATGTATATAATCATTGTTTACCGTGAATCTCACAATGTCTAACAATTTTTTGTTGTACGTTGTGAAAAATGAATATCAACATGGACCATGGTCCAAGGCCATCAAATTTTTAGGGTCTATTTTTTTTGTATTTATATATATATATATATATATATTGTTATAAAAAAATGTTTGGTATCAAGTGGTCATGCAGTAAAAAAGAAAAAACAAGATTGAAGCCAAAATTGGTGTTGAAGACAGAAATTTCAACCGATTATTCATGAATCTAAACAATTAATCATTTTTTAATTTAAAAAAGTTATTGTTAAGAGTTTCATTTTATTTTGTCTGGAACCTCAAATCAACTTGAATTGGCCAATATAACGATCTCATGTGAACGATCATCATAATCCTATGATATTTAAAAAAAAAATGTTGTATGTTAGCTTTTTCGCATGAGAATAATAAATATAAACATATCTTGATCTGTGAAAAAATTATAAATTGTACAAAAGTTGGTATGTTTTCACAAAAATTTGATTTTGATATTGCATTAATTTTGTTACCATTTAGTATTAAGTTTTCCGATTTTTGCAATGTTTGACCAATTAACAGGTCAACGTGGTTTCACTAACGTGACAATCTTTGGTGACATGACGCTAACATGACATACTTATGTTTTATTTTTTTGTGACACCACATCCCGGAATTTCAATTTTTATGACAATTATAACATTTAAATAAAAATCATTATGGTCATGTTCAACACAGAACGGTAAAGAGCATTTGAGAGCTTCTGACAAAATGTTTCGTTTCGAACAAAAAATATCGTTTAACACTACAAACTTTTAACGTTTAATTTAAACAAAATGTTCCAAATCCAAAAACTATCTCATATACACAAAATACTACCAGTTATCATCTACCCGCTAATTACCACAAGTCACTATATTTTAGTTTTTTTTTTCAATTTTGATACAAAACGTAATGCCACCAAAAAGATAATACATCAGTATACCATGCTAGCATCATATCATCAAAGACTTATATTAACGAAAAACTAAGTTGACCAATTAAGTGGTTAACATCGCAAAAATTGGAGCAATATTAATACAACATCAAAATCAATTTTTTGTGAAAACAAAGTGATTTTTGTCAGATTTGTGCAATTCCACCTATGTCCCTCCCTAACTTCTAATTCCAGCTAGAAGCCCTTGATTCTTGATCAATAGTTGAACTTGAAATCAGTTTGTAAGTGTCTCGGCCTGAGGTCCTTACTGAACCTTTCCCAACAGATGTAATAGTATAGTTTTGTGGTGTAACTGAGCCTAATACACTAGTTATATATAAATAAAATTCAAAAAATGTTTCTGGCAACCACATTTCACCCTTACAAAAAAAAAAAAAATAATAAGTAAATAAATAGTCACCAAAAAGCATGGATGAGAAAGCAAAGTACATGTACATGAGACAAAATTGGAGGGATTTTGTTTTGTAGTTTATAAGTAGTAATAAAGCAAGTCCACGTCCTAAAAAAAAAAAACCAAGTTTGAAATGCAGATGCATCAGATTATACACAGCAGAGCAGCAGCCTATGGTATCTACCAACCTCTCTCTCTCAACCTACTTCACCTTCTTATTGCAATGCTATCACATTTCAATAATGAGATATCTTTTTTTTTCTTTTTCTTGTTTAAAACTCTAGTGGTACCGCAGAGTCATGGAAAAGTAGTAGAGACTTTACCACCTTAATCGTCCCATGCATCATCTGCAGAACCCTCATTCTTGATCATGGCATTGGGAGCCGGGGAAATCATGTACTTGTACTTGTCTTCCACATTTATGGATGATATTGTTGCTGGCAGCTTTGATTGTGCCATCCGAGCCTCTTTCTGTGCTGCTGCTGCTTCTCTCTCCTTCCTCCGTGCAACCTACATACACATCACCATCTCTTTATCATTATTATTATTCTATTCTCTTAAAATAAAAAGTGCATTTATTTATGTATGTATGTATGTACCTTGCCAGTGGCAAAAGCTACAGTGTTCCCAGATTGAACATCTGCTATTGCTTTCCTTATTTGCGATACAAGAAACTGAAATAAACACATGGTAATTTTTTTTAACCACATTTATTTACCACTATTAAAATTTCATTTGCTCAAAAGCAAATGTTGCGATTTCCAAAAGAAAAAAAAAAAAAAAAAGAAAAGAAAAGGGTAAAGGTAAAACCATATCACGGTCTGTATAGAATGAAGTAGCTCTTCCTGTTGATCCTGCACGCCCTGTCCTTCCAATTCGGTGCACATAGTCCTCCATTGTCTGAACTCAAACACAACCCAACACAGATAAATGCTGCTTACTTTTCCTTCCAATAACTATATTATAGTAATAGTAAGAAATACCATACCTTTGGGAGGTCCAGGTTTACTACATGAGCAACTCCTGTAACATCTAGACCCCTAGAGGCAACATCAGTAGCAACCTGCAGTGCAAATCCCAAACACACAAACAAAACTTATTAGTTATTGATTATTACTATTTATGAAATTGTGAGTTGTGACATACCAAGATGTTAGTGGGACCATGTCTAAAATCACGGAGAGCACCCTCTCTTTCGCTCTGAGTTCGGCCTCCATGAAGAGCAACAGCATTTAAACCCTGAGCTACCAAAGCTTCAGCTACTTCATCACACCTCGTCTACATCCACATCCAAACAATAAATAACCAATTTTCAATAATCATCAATCAGCAAAATACAAATACTTTACCTTCCGTTCAACAAATACAATTGTTAAGGGAAATGGGTGGCCTAATTTTTCAGCCAGTGCAGCCTCCTCAACAAGCAAAGATAGCAACCGATCAATCTGCAATTACAAGTACAAAATGTACATTAATTCCAAATGCTGCAGAGATTGGTATCAAAAGTAACTGAAATATATTATTATAAGTATGATTTAATGAACCTAAAATCAAAATTGGCATACCTTTTCACTTTCGGAAATCTTCTCCAATGTTTGGGATACATTCTCTGTTGGGCTGCTCACTTTTCCAACCTTCACTTGTACTGGATTTGTCAAATATTCCTGAAATTCATACCACACAAGGGAAGTTTAATTCATGAAACAATTTCACATAATATTAGGATCTACTACCAATATAAAGCTTCATTGTGCTGTGGAGATGATTTGTCATAAAATGCAATGGCTTTTTTTTATCATGATTAATAAAACATATAATTCAAAATGACCCAAAAGAGAATATAATATCAGATAAACCTGTGCTAATGCTTCAATCTCCACTGGCATAGTTGCACTGAACAGCAGTGTCTGATGCTTTTCTGGAAGATTATGCATCACCTAAAAATAAAACAAATTAAACCTTCTTCTGTTTATCATCAAATTACAAGACCCTATATGTGGGTGTGTGTATATATATGTATGTATATGTATATACATTACATACATACATTTGAAACGCACTTGGAATTTTAAATGCTACATATATAAAAGATATTTCAACAGCGCTTATTTTCCAAAAAGCAACTCTATGAAGTTGGCAATGGCATTGACATTAAAACACAATTTACCTCTCTTATTTGAGGTTCAAACCCCATATCAAGCATTCTATCTGCTTCATCAAGAACAACATATGAAATCCGTGTGAGAGATGTGTTTCCCTGTTGTAAATGATCAATAAATCTTCCAGGAGTAGCAACCACAATTTCCACTCCTGCCCTTAGCTCAGACCTCTATTAAACATCCACAAAACAAAATGCAAAAATATAAACTTCTGATGCATCTATAAAAACCCACAAGATAGTATATTGAAAGTTGTATAAAGCGACTCAAACAATTAACCACTAGTCAAAAAAAACATGAAAATTTGCTTCTTGCAACAGTTGTTTAGATAAAGAGTCATATAATCCACATAAAACACCAATGCAAAATCAGTCACCTGGTCAGCAATGTTTGTTCCACCCACAACGATTGCAGTTCTGAAAGACTCCACTGATTGACTGAAAGCTTTCACCTGTAACAACCCCATGAAACATGTAAACCTTCTATATTGGACATGCATATAATATAATCAAATCAAAAACACAAGTCAAAAGCAGTTTCAAGATTCACAATAAATTTATACTAATCACTAAAGCCCTCTTCAACATATAGATAATAGCTCAGAGTTTATGAAAAAGTAGTACAGTGTATGCAATAAGCAAAAAGGAATCTTTGATGAAGTCACTAGTTGTAATATTAAACACTTGAACTTTAACAAGTGTAGTGTTTATGAAGCTATGTAGAAGTGCATATAAATCAACCATAAGATACCTTACCTCTTTCTCTATCTGCTGTGCAAGCTCTCTGGTGGGAGCCAGCACTAGTGCTAAAGGACCATCTCCCCTCCGAACAGGAGGCTGAGCTATACAATGCTGCAAATGTGAAAGAAATAAACAGAAATGAAAAAACCACAAGTTATCACAAAAATAGTAGCTTATTGTATAAAATAATTTATTATAGCACAAGTATACTTGATGATTTTCATTAAGTGTTACCTGTATCATGGGTATTGTGAAAGCAGCAGTTTTACCACTGCCTGTTTCTGCACAGCCTAAAAGATCCCTTCCACTTAGAGCAACAGGCATTGCCTGGGCCTGTATAGAAGTAGGTGTTGTGTATTCATGAATAGCAATATCCTTCATGATGCTTGAGGCCAGACACTGCAGATGTTAGAGAAAATGCATTACATCAGTCATCAATTAGTGGAAATTAATCAAATAACATATTGTATGAGACAGAAAAGGCATGTCAAATATATTAATTTGGTTACCATATCTGTAAAGGATTCAATTGGTGCAGGTGCTGCAGGGGAGTCAGGAGTGACAGTAACATCAACATTGAGTCGTAATCTGACCTCTTCTATCTGTAGAATTATAAAAATAAAGAAAAAAAAAACATATTGTATATCTTAGCAAAATTAATAAAAACAAACTCCATAAAAGCTAGTGAAACATCAATGACAAGTAAACAGCCAACTGATCATCTTTCAATGAAAGTCATGCTTTATTGTGAAAAGTAATCATAAAACTATGACAGTAGTGAGCCCTCCATGTTTAACATATTTAACATGGAGGGGCTACTTGATTGACATAAGAGGTCCACAGTTTCAAATAGATACCACATAAACAAGATTTTATAAATGCACTTCTTTATCTCTGTTAACCATCATTTAAATTGTCATAGAAAATTTGACATTAACCATGCCCAACTTTTAGTTTTAAATCTCCTTTGAGTAAACCAAGTTGCCACCGAGTCTAGCTAACATAATGAGATAACATATTCTTCAAAGTGCATAACTTGGTTGTATGAAATCTCAAAACGAGTAAACATGTTATACTGTTTAAGGCACGCTTTAGTTCATTTTGTATAAGCACATAAGAGATTAAGATCCCTACCCTAACTCCTAAAGTCGACAATTAGCTGTCCTAGATCATAGATTGTGTACTAGCGTATTATCTTAATTGATTCTCCCTCTATGTACCAAAATCATAGATGTATCTGTTCATTTGGAGGAAACTTGGAGATTTTAAATCTCAAATTTATAGCATATATATGATAGAACCTAATAAATTTGTACATTTGGTGAGAATGCTAGAATTTTAGAGGATAACTTAAAAGGTTGAAACTCAACATGTGTCCCAAACTTCAAAACTGAGGAAGTAGTACTTATTATTTTTATTCTATGAAAAAATTATCACGTCTTTTGATAAACCAGATAATCGGAGACTCCAAATATGCTTCGTATGAATACAATCATTTCACGATTCAACTATAGAGACGCTTAAAAACTCTAAAAATGCCCTAAAACTGAAATTAAAACCAAAACAAGAAACAGTTATGCCGTAAGGATCATTTCATCTTTAACTAAGAGCGTTAGTTCTCAATCAATCTCATAACAGAAACAGTTATCACGCACAGTTGAAAAATAAACAAGTTTTCCTAAAAACAACGTCGAATACGTAACCTGCTCGGGTTTAAGACGTAGAACGCGTTCAGAAGGCTTCCATTGAGGAAGCACTACGTTAGGAACAGCGAGGGCTCTCGACGGTTGGATGTGGTTGTTGGCTGAGCTCCGTCTAGGAGTTGAATTAGAAAAGGCATTGTTGTTGGATTTAGAGTTAAGTTTGTGGTTTGTGGTGATGTTATCTACGTTTGTGGGGGTGGCGGTTGTGGTGGTGGTGGTGGTGGCTGTTGCTGTGGCGGTGACGGTGGCGGCGACTGACTTACGGAGGTGAGGAGGCACATAAGACATTGTTTGGATGGATGAGTGTGGAGAGTGTGTGTGTGTGTGTGTGTGTGTGTGAGAATTGGTCTGCTGCGGTTGATGTTCAATCTTAAGTCCGAATCTCAGCGAAGTACACATGCCATTAGGATTATCTCGGAACAGTATCTTGAAATTAGGGTTTATTTTTCAAAACTAAAAATATTTGGGGTATTTCAATCTCATTCTAAATTTCTAATCAACGAAAAAAAAAGTAAATAGCATAAAATTCATTATGTTTTACAAAAAAAATGAATTTGACACTTTTTATTATTATTTGTTTCAATTTAGTTATTAAGTTTCTTAACTTTTTGCAATGTTAATAGTTAATTATTTAACCGGTCAACCTAATTACACATTAACCATTTGACCGTACAATCCAATTTGATATGGTGTGTTAGACTTTGGCGACGTGATATCATGACATGATATTATTTTGTTATGTGGCGTTTAGTTGGTATGATCTGTCAAATTTTTAAAAAAAAAAAATAACAAAAGATACTAAATTTTTATTTTTTTCAATTTTAACACTAAGTTTTTTTTTTAATTTTGACACTTAATTTTTTAATTTTGACACTTAATTTTCGTTCAATATTGACTATTTTCCATTTGAAATCATATAAATATTTTTTTTACATTTGAAATTGTATAAATACATCTTTTTACATTTAAAAACCCTATTTTTAGTATAGATACAAGGTTATTACATGTAAACCATAATCTTATGTATAAATATGTATCATTCATATTATAATCGTATTTTTCATTAAATACGTAATTTTAATATGATCTTGGAGGTGCAGAGTGCACAGTCATGTAAGTTAATGCGATATCATGAACACGATGGTTTATGGTTGCTTTAATTACCAAGGGGTCGTTCTCGTTCTCTCTCTCTCTCTCTCTCTCTCTCTCTCTATATATATATATATATATATATATATATATATATGTGTGTGTGTGTGTGTGTGTGATTTTTGGTTCTTATAGATATATTTCTTCATTTAATGTTACTATGCAAAAATCTCGTTTCAAAGAACGTCAAACAAAGCAAGGTATTATGTGTTTCTGAATTTTAGATTTTGCATTAAATCGAAATTAAGTTTTTTTGGATCATCCCAAATATGGTTTTCGTGTTACTCCATGCATTATGGTCGAAAAGACAAATTTTGGAAGATGTTTTCACACACTAGGCATTCACAATGTCTAATCTACTACTTTTAACTAGGGGTGACAATTCTCAACTCAACCCCGACACGAAAATAGACAGGTTTGGGTTGAGATTTCCGACCTACCAACCCTTTTATTTCATGGGTCGGGATAGGTTACATGTTTTGATTCGCAAGTTAACCCAACTATATACATTATATTTAGGAAGGACTCTAAGCATATGAACTCGGCGAGTCAGTAGGCTGACTCAGCGAGTATGGTTGACCTGGGAGGTTGAATTTTGACCAGGACTTTGACTTTGACCAGCGTTGACTGTATTGACTTTCGGGGGTCAATTAGACTAAGGGTTGC